GGCCGAGATTGGCCGAGGTTGGCGAGTGTCGTTGGCCGAGTGTCGTTGGCCGACGCTGGCCGCGGGAGTCCGCCTTGTAGACGGCGGCGAAGCCGCCCGTCGCGATCAGCTCGAGGATGACGAAGCGGCCGTCGGAGGAGCCGCTGCGGCTGGCAGTGCCCTTCTCGCCCGGCTCGTGGACCTGCCTCCCGTCCCGCGGGAAGGAGGGGCACTCGCGCATTTCGGCGGGCAGGCTGTCCGACTCCTGGGCTAGACGCAGCTCCGCCACGTGGGTCTGCACGCAGCGCTCGAGCGCCTATGGGGAGAGACGGGGAGGTGTGGGGAGGTGTGGGGAGGGGTGGGTCTGCACGCCGCACCGCTCGCGCGCCTTTCGCTCCCTCTCTCTCTCGTCCTTCTCTCGCGCGAGCAGGATCTTGCGTAGCTTGAGCGACTCCTGCAGCCCATCACTCCTTGCTCAGCATACTAAGGAGCAGTGAGCAGCCACCCTGCGCAGCTCGAGCAACTCCTCCAAATCGAGCAGCTCGAGCGCCTCCTCCTCCCCGCCGCCGCCGCCGCCGCCGCCGCCGCCGCCGCTCGCCTTGCTCGCGCTGGCCTTTCGCTTCTTGAGCGCCTTCTCGTCCTCCGACAGCGCGGCCCGCCGCTCGTCGAGGGCTCGCTCGCGCGCCTTGAGCTCGACCATCGCCGTCCCGTCCCGCAGCACGAACGAGGAGGAGAAGGTGCCCGTCCCCTCGTGCGCCAGCGTGCCCAGCCGCACCTGCAGGCCGCGACGCGGACGTGTCGCGGACGTGTCGCGGGCGTGTCGCGGACGTGTCTCGGACGCGTCGCGGGCGCGCGGACTGTGGCGGGCGCGTGGCGGGCGCGTCGCGGGCGCGGACTGTGGCGGGCGTGTGGCGGGCGCGGCGTGTGGCGTGTGGATGTGATGTGGCATCATGGCGCTTGCGTGCCGGTGCGCCGCAAGTCTCGGAGGTGTCTCGGAAGCGTCTCGGAGGTGTCTCGGAAGCGTCTCGGAGGTGTCTCGGAAGCGTCTCGGAGGTGTCTCGGAAGTGTGTCGGAGGTGTCTCGGAAGTGTGTCGGAGGTGTCTCGGAAGTGTGTCGGAGGTGTCTCGGAAGTGTCTCGGAGGTGTCTCGGAAGTGTGTCGGAGGTGTCTCGGAAGTGTGTCGGAGGTGTCTCGGAAGTGTGTCGGAGGTGTCTCGGAAGTGTGTCGGAGGTGTCTCGGAAGTGTGTCGGAGGTGTCTCGGAAGTGTGTCGGAGGTGTCTCGGAAGTGTCTCGGAAGTGTCCCGCACCGACTCGCGCGCGAGGCGCTCCCGCTGCTCCCCGCGTTCCTTGAAGGCCGCCTGCCGAAGCGCCTGTACATGCGTGTACATCGCGCGCGCGTGAGCAGGGCGATAACCGCAACGCGCAGCCTCGAGGGGCTCCAGGCCCCAAAGGGCGTGTGAGTGTTGGAGTGGTCCGCGCCTCACGCAGCGCCTCTCGGGGACTCTCGGGTAATCTCGGGGACTCAGCGCCTCCCGCAGCGCCTCGACGCCCGCCCGGTTCGCCGCCCGCTCCGCCTCGTGCTCGTCCCGCACCGCCGCAACCTCGGCGCGCAGGTCCTGCATCGCACCTGCGCACGGCGCGCGGTGTGAGGAGAGCCACCAGCGCACAGCCGGCCGCCGCACTCTGCGGCGGGAGGGACGCTGCGGCGGCAGGGACTGCGGCGGCGGCAGGGGCTGCGGCGGCGGCAGGGACGCTGCGGCGGGAGGGACTGCGGCGGCGGCGGCTCGGCGGGGCGGCGGGGCGGCGGCAGGGCAACGAGCGGGCGGGAGGCGTGCGGCGGGGCCGTGGCAGTTGCGGTCTACGAGCGGCGCACCCGACGCCGCCTCGGCCTCGGCCTTTGCACTGTCCGCCTCTGCCCTCGCGGCCTCGGTCTCGCCGCGGCTCTTTGCCAGCTCCTCGCGCAGCCGCGCGTTCTCCGCCTCGAGCCGTCCTCTCTCCGCGTCTGCCGCCGCGCCGGTAGGCTTGCCGGCGGCGGTGGCGGGCGATACCCCGCCGGGCGGTGGGCGCTCCTTCGGCGCGTAGAACTTTTTGATTCCGCCTGCTGCCGGACTCGCCGCTTTCGCCGGTGGCGGCGGCCCCGGAGGCCCTGAAGAAGAAGGGGTTGCAGCGAGAGCGGCGGTGGCGGTGGCGGCGGCGGCGGCAGTGGCGGCGGCAGGAGCCTGCGGCGCCGCGCGTGGCGACTCGATGCGCGGCCGCTTGGCATCCCCGGCTCGCCCGAAGGCGCTGCGCTGGTTGCTGCTTGTGCTGGCGCTGGCGGGCGTCGACGGCCGTGCGTCGGGCGCGCTGTTGGAGGGCGCGCTGTTGGAGGGCGGGTTGGACGGCTCCCGGCGGAAGCCGAGCTCGACTGACGCGAAGCCGCCGGTGCTGGACGAGGTCATGCGCGACTCGAGCATCTCCACACGCACGCGGTCAGCGGAGGACATGGCGGGAGAGGGCAGGGACTCTCGATTGCGGATTTTTCTTTTTTTGAAAACCCATGTAACGCAGGATTCGGTACTTCAGCTTGGTATAGTATCATCGTATGCCAGATCATACCCCAGGGCTATACGCTGATACCCTCTTGAGAGGACCCGCATTGGGCCCCTAGAGGATAGGCTGATACCCTCGTGGCACGTGGGTTACCCTTCACACCGGACACGACCCCCCTCTTCACACCTCTTCGCGCGCTGCGCGCGCGCCAACCAAGTCAGACAACGCGCTCGGTGAGCGTCGCGCAGGAGGGAGGCGAGCGCACCACTAAGCAATGCGCTGGGCGAGGAGGGCGCTAATGGCGGCCGTCGTCGCATTTGACGGGCCCGCGGCCGCAGCCGGTGCGGCTGCAGCCGCGGGAGGGGCCGCGGCCTGCACGGCTGCGGCCGGGGCCGGCGCCGCGGGGGCGCGGCGTTAGGCGCCGTGGCGGGCTCCGCTGCGGACTCGGTGTCCCCCGCCGCCGCCGTGACACGCTGCAGGGTGATATGCACACATGCGGGCGCTGCGGCCCAGGAAATCGTTCTCGAAGTCAACATGGCACCGGCAACATCCGGTGCATTTCCGAAACAGCTGGCTTTGCCGAAACGAGGAGGCGTGCATTGCGCGCGCAACAGCTGGTGGGTGGGCGTGGCGCGCGGGTACGGCCGAGGGAGGGCTCGGTCCTCGGTGAGAGGTGTGAATTGTCGCTTCGCTGCCAGACTCCAGCAGAGACGTCGGCGGACGCAGGACATACGATGCTACCTCGTAGCGCGTGCATTTTCCTGCCGGTGGTGCTCGCTGTCGCCACCGCCAACGCCACCGCCGCCGATGCCGCCGACGCCACCGCTGCCTCGGGCAACGACGAGCAACCAGAGTATTCGCCGCAAGCGCTCATGCTTCGCCTGCGCCGCCTCGAGGCCGAGAATGCCGCTCTTCTCGCAGAGGTCGAAGGCCTGAGCAGAGCGTTGCCCGTATGCCAAGCCTTCGTGCAGACGGGGGGGTGCGACCCGGACGGGCCCGAAGAACTGCGCCGCAAGTGCGATGAGGCCATCGACGCCGGCGCCTCAGGCTACTGTGAGTGCCGCGCGGGAGGGCGGGCAAACGCGGTCGGCTGCGGGCACGCGCAGTTCACATGCGCCGAGGCTTGCGGTACGCTGCAGCAGACGAGCACTGTGCAAGCAGCCGTGGGTGCGTCGGGCGCGCTGTCCACCGTGTCCACCGTCGCCACCGACGGGCCGCCGCAGTGCCGCAGTCTGCGCGGCTGCCGCGAGTGCGCCTCCCTCGAAGGCTGCGCGTGGTGCCTGCAGACCCGCCGCTGCGTGCCGGACGAGGCGTGGATATGCCAAGGCGACCTCGACCACGTCTCACACGTGCGGGGCGCGCCGGTTTTAGATGCTGAGCAGAGAGCCGCGCCTTCTTCCGACCAGCACTCGAGGACACGTGCGCAGCCGCAGTCCGCTGCATTCGTGGCCTCAGTCTCCCGCCACTCGTGACGTAGGCACGCCGGCGGAAGGCCGCCCGGGCAAGGGCCGCTGCCCGACTGCGCAGGAGCTCGAGGCGGACCGCCAGGCGCGCAACGTGCGCGAGCGCGCCGCCGACGCGCGCAGCACGCCGCCCGCAGCCGCAGGCGCGCCCACGCCTCCGCCCACGCCGACGGCGGGGCATCCGTTGGCCGCCCGAGGCGAGCGGTCGGCGCTGGACGAGGCACGCGCGCGGGCGCGGGAGCGCGTGGTGAGGGCGAGCCTCGACGAGGTGCGCCGCCTTCGCTACTGGACGCGCGACGAGGCCGCGGGCGGGAGCGAGGAGGCAGAGGGCGCGGCGCCGGCGGCGGAGGAGGCGGCGGCGGCGCAGGCGGCGGCGCAGGCGGCGGCGGCGGCGCACATTGCCGAGTTGGAGCGGCGCGTCTTGGTCGCCGAGGAGGAGGAGGGCGGCGCGTCGCGGCCGTATGAGACGCTCGAGCTCGCCGCAAACTGCTCGCAGAGCGAGGTGCGGCGCGCGTACAAGCGGCTCGCGCTGCGGTTCCACCCCGACAAGAATGAGGGCGGCCACGCGGAGCTCGCGCACCGCGCCTTTCAGGTCAACCACACGCACACACACACACACACACACACACACACACACACACACACACACGCACGCACGCACGCACGCACGCACGCACGCACGCACGCACGCACGCACGCACGCACACACACACACACACGCACGCACGCACGCACAATCACACACCCACACACACACACCGCTCACCCACGAGCACTGGGCCTTGCACTTTGAATGCCGTGGGGCTCGTGCCATTAGACGTGGAGACGCGAGGGTCGCCCCCCCTTGCCCCACCACCTCGTGTGTGTGGAGAAGTTTACCTTCCCTTACCTTACCTTTCAGGAGGTGGTGGCCGCCTTCGAGATCCTCGGCACGCCCGACAAGCGCGCCGCCTTCGACGAGGCGGCGGGCGCGGGCGGCGGCTCCGACTTCGACGCGCGCTGGGAGAACCGCGAGTTTGCGTGGGACTCGGACATGTACAAAGGCGCGCGCCACATCACCACGCTCACCGAGCGGATCTGGGAGCGGCGGCTGAGCGGCGACACGGTGTGGCTTGTCCAGTGCTACGCGGCGTGGTGCCCCGCGTGCAAGGCGAGCATGCCACTTCCGAGACACCTCCGAGACACTTCCGAGACACCTCCGAGACACCTCCGAGACACTTCCGAGACACCTCCGAGACACTTCCGAGACACCTCCGAGACACCTCCGAGACACCTCCGAGACACCTCCGAGACACCTCCGAGACACCTCCGAGACACCTCCGAGGCACCACCTCGACTGCAAGCACCTCCGCGTGCAAGGCGAGCATGCCGCAGTTCCACTCGACGGCGGAGCGGCTCAAGGAGTCGGACGACGTCGAGGTGGGCGCCATCAACTGCGAGCGGCCGGGCAACAAGCAGATCTGCTCCGACTGGCTGAGCGTCGACGCGTACCCGTCGCTGCTGCTCAACCGCAGGCACGGCACGCTCGCGCGCTACCCGTCGGCCGACAGCAAGGCCGCGGAGGAGGTCGCGCGATGGGCGCTCGCCACCGCGCGCGAGTGGCGCTCGCTCTTCACCACCGCGGCAAACGTCGCTCACCTCGATGCCGAGGGCTTTGGAGAGCGGGTCCTCGACGACGCGCGGCGCGCGTGGGTCGTGCTCTTCTCCGACGGCCTCGCGTGCGCGCCGTGCCGCACCGCCCGAACCAACCTGCTGCGCCTCTCCGCCTCGCTCGCCGGCCTGCCCGTCGGCCTCGGCATCGTCGACTGCGAGGAGCCGTCGAACGGCGCCTTCTGCCGCGAGGAGCATGGCATGCCCGAGCGGCCGCACGGCCCAGCCTTCCTCGCCTGGCCTCGCGGCCTCAAGCGGCGCGGCGGCTCGACCCGCGGCGAGGCGCTCTTCAGCGCCGAGCAGATCGAGCCGCACCGCGCGCTCGAGCTGATCGACAGGGGTCTCCGCCTCGCCCTCGCCAACGAGCGCGCCTCCTCCGGCGGGGAGGAGGGGGGCGAGGCCACCGCGTTCGAGAGGCACGCCGCGCCTCCGGGCGAGTCCGGCGAAGGCGGCGCCGACGTCTTTGGCGGCGGCGGGCCGCCAGGCGGCTTTCGCTGGGACGGCCCTCAGCGCGACCCGGACGCAAAGCCGCTGCCGTGGGGCGGGCCGCGAAGGCCCGACGCGGCGCCGCGCATTGGCCGGTAGAGCGCAGAGCGGAGCTGTGCCTAACTAAAGAAGCTTCGAGAGAGCTCTGTGATGTGCACGAGTGCGCAGTACAGTAGAGGCGCGCTGGTGTGGCACAATTGTACCAACGTACCATGTGACGTACTTTTAGCTTACTCTCTCTCTCCATGTGTGTAGTACGGTCGCTAGTTTGTGGCGTGTGGGTGATGTCACGTTGCGACGGTGTATCATTCACTTTAATCTTTATGCCACCGTTGCATATCCGGATATGCATCTCTGGGGGGAGGCGGGGCCCCTCGGATGCACCGTGGTCCGTGCGCCGCGCCGCAGTCGAGTGCGGAAACGGGGCTCCCCGGCTCTCTCCTAGAGATACTAGTCTCTACTAGTACCGACTTCCCGATTAAGTACGGTTAAGTAGAGGGCAGATTTGGAGAGATCTCGAGGAGTACATACAGATAGACCCTCCAACCATCAGAAAACTCCGACCTGATCGGTCGTACTGACCGCCGACAGATCACTCCAGACACAGGCCGACGTCTGCACGCGGCCGGCCGGGGGCGAGAGGCTTGACACGATCCGACCCTGCGACCCGACGCTGCTGCTCTAGCTATCAGACATGCACTGCTGACTGCTGCCACAATGTGCGACCTGTGCTGGCCCACTTGGCGGCCTTCCCGGTCAGTGGTGAGGCGCAGTTCAGAGCTGTCGATGGCGCGATGCCGCACTGGTCCCACATTGGTGACACGAGACCACCAAGTTTGCCAGTCCAAGAGAGAGGCACCGGCGCTCTCCTGAGAAAGTGCATGGTCCCTCTTGACTGCCCATGCGCGCGAGGCTGTGTAGGCATAGCCTCGAGAGTGCCAGCAGCCAGTCGCCGAGGCAGTTTGTGACGCGCATTGCGTCAGAAGCGTGCACGCGCTGGAAGGACACCTTCCTACTGGCCGTACGATCAGGTCGTCACTGAATGGTGGGGGATGCGTCGATTTGCGTGGCGACGAGCGCGTACAGCGACGCGGCGGACGGCACGCAGTTCCGCTGCAGGTGGGTGGTCGGGTAGGTGGTGGCGGGGATGGAGCGGCCGTTGGCGGTGGGGCGCACGAGATGAGCGAGCCGTTGTACCAGCGCACGTACTGCGGGCCCCGACACCTTCGGGCACTCCGCCGTGCACACCGTCGGCTCGCGGCGGCCGTACGGCAGGCAGGCGAAAAAGACAAACGGCCGCTCGGCGATCGGCTCCGGGTAGCCCTCGCGCCGCAGCCCGCACAGCTGGTTGGTCACATCCATGCCCGTCTCGAGCCGGCCGATGTCTCCCTCACGCAGGGCGACAGCGGCGATGGCCGCCATCGCAACGAAGCAGAGCAGCAGCGCCACGAGCGCGCCGGTGTCGCGGCAGCGGCGGGGAGGCGCGAAGCCGTTGCGACCGAGCCACGGCTCGGTGCCGGCTCCGCGCACCAGAGGGTGGCGGAGGCTCTCGGACGGAGGCATCGAGGGGCGGCGACAGGGGGGAGAGGGGCGCCCGGCGTGCTGTAGGCGGTCGGTGTCGTGTTGATGGCTCTCCTGCCTCAGCGGAAAAAGAAATCGAAAGGCGCACAATGTGGTGGCGTCATTGTATTGCAATCCGCCTTCCTTCCCTATCATTGAAAGTAGCAGCCCAAAATCGCGGCGCCCCACTTCGATTTGGTCGATTTGGGCCCCCTCCCGACCGCCCCCGCCCCTGCCTCCCGGGGGCCCGGCCGACCATGCCAGCCGGCGCCCGGCCGGCCGGCGGGCCCAACCCGAAGCGCCCGGCCGCTCGTCGGCGCCGTCCGGCCGACGGGGCCAGCCGTGCACAAGAACGAAAAAAAAAGGGGACACACAATTCCAGCAATGGTTGTGTCCCCACTCTCGCGATGCTCGCTCGCCCGTGCGGAGGGCATGGCCGCGGAGGAGGCGAGTACGCGCTGCCAGGCCTTCCGCAGACAGCCTCTTGGGCAGACTGAGGGTCGGCTTTGCGTGGCGTAGCCCGTGTGCTGCGCTGCGTAAAGCTGCGTGTGCTGAAGGTGCATCTGGTGCTTCCTTTGGGAAGTGCGCACCTCCTGCAGCTGGTGGAAGGCCGTGCCGCCGCTCGCCTGCTCCGTGGACAGGGCGGGGAGGCGGCGCCGCAGCGCCGCAGCGTCCGCTGCACGCTGGTGCAGCACTCTGCTGCCTGGTGGGCAGCATGCTGGTGCTGTGCGCGGTGTTTGCGAGGCGGCTTTGGCGCTGTGGTGCCGGCCGCGGCGAGTGGCGCGAGGCACGCGCGGCGCCGCGCGTGGCCCGGATGGCGCCAGAGAGCGCGCTCGATGAGCCAGCCGGCGCGGCGCGAGCGCCGTGCAAGCTGGCACATCGTCTGCATGCTGCCGTCAATTCTCTGGTCGACGGCGGTCAATCTCACGATTGTCGATCAAAACCGGCGGGCTTTGTGACGCCGTTTACGCAATCGTTTTTTGGCCTCGCTTTCTCTTTTGCTTGGTTTTATTTTGTTTTTTCGTTTGCGAAGCGACCGAGGGGGGGGCGGGCGGGCGCTAACTATGGGCAACTACATGTCGAAGGTTCGAGGACGACTAACTACTCGCCGCCTGGGTCGTTTGGGGCGCGCGGCTCCGTCGAGGACCGGGCGCGCCCCTTACCCGGCGCGGCGTAGGTCCCACTCTGACGTATAGAGGGGAGGCACGGACAACGGCCCAATTCATCAATTCCACTCATCTTCTGGTGCCTCTAGCCCCGTGCAGCGGCGGTCCGGCAGGCTGCCCCCAAGGCCCCCCGGGCCGCTGCGGGTTTGGGAGTTATGCTTAGGCACAGCTTCGGCGATGGCAGCCCCTCTCTGGGGTGTTGCATAGGCGGGGAGTCTCCCCCGCTGGTCTCCTCCTTCCCATATTTTCTTTTCTTTTGAGAGCAGGACGCCGGGTTTGTCTTGTATGTGCGTGTCGGGCCGGGGTGTGAGCGAGGGGCAGAAGGGGCGGGGGCGTGCGGGCAGGAGCCCATCGTCAGGCGGCTTGTCGGGGTCCGGAGAATTCGAGGGGGGAACGAGGAGGGGGGATGGGCGGTCGGCGATGGGGTATGATGCAACAGGGCGTACGGGGTAGCCGTCACTTTCCCGCCTCGAAAGGGCGGGGCTGTCCCGGAAAACCAGTCCCCACCGCCTGCGGCGCCGCTCGGCGATCCGTCCACTCCTCCGGTGGCACCCCCACCGCCAGCAACGCCGCCACCCTCGCCGCCGCCGCCCTCACCACCGCCACCCTCACCGCCGCCACCTTCACCACCGCCGCCGTCTCCCCCGCCGCCATTCTCGCCGCCGCCATTGCCGCCGCCGCCATCTCCTCCCCCACCCTCACCGCCACCTCCAAGCCTTCCGCCGCCGTCCAAACCCCCACCCAGCCCGCCCCCTTCCCCCCCACCGTCACCGCCGCCCCTGCCGCCGCCTCCCCTGCCGCCGCCGCCCTCCCCACCCGCCGCTCTGCCCCCACCCAGCCCTCCTCCGCCACAAGCGCCAGCTGGCGACCCTGCTGCACCGCCACCCCCGCCACTCTCTCCATCTCCATTGTTCCCTCCTCCAACCTCGCCACCTCCGCCCCCCTTCCCTCCACCGCCATTGCCGCCGCCGCCCTCACCACCACCCGCCATTCCTCCAAGCCATCCCCCGCCGACGTCGCCACCTCCGCCTTCGCCCTTGCCACCGCTCTCGCCCCCGCCCCCGCCGCCTCCGCCGCCCAGCACACCACCTTTTGTACCACCACCTGCTCCTCCGCCACCCTCTCCACCACCTCCCTTGCTACCTCCACAATCTTGCACTTGTGCAAGAACCATACTGCTTCGTGGTTAAAAAATCCCCGCAGCGCCCCTATCTGCCAGAGGCTTGTCCGACACGTGTAGTTATGCCATACTCAAAATTCACCCTTGGGGACCCGCTGTGTGCGGTGCGGGCCCCTGCACACAGCAGGGGACGACGGCAAGAAATACCCAGGGTGAAGCCTCGAGACGTCTTAGCTCAGCGAGCTTTCTGTCGTTTGCTTGACTGAGTCGAAATGAGACTCATTTATTATAGATAGGAAAAAAGTCATGTGTGGTCATGTGTGAATTCAGAATGCTCTCGCGTCGTCCGTGCCGTCGAGAGCGGACGCGCTAGCCGCGCCACCAGCCACCTGGTCGCCAGCCGCCCCAGGAGGGATGTCGTCCAGCGACAGGCCGCCAAAGGCGAGCAGGGGGGTGCAAGATCCCCGCGGAGGCGGCGATGGTGGCTCCGTTCACGTATAGCTGCCTCATATACTCTGCTGCGTCACGGAGGCGCGCGCGTGCAGCTGGCCGAGCCGGCCCAGTGCGCCGTTGGGAAGCGTGACGAAGCTCCCGGCGGCGGGCTCCGCGCGGCAGCGCACCGGCCCATCCGTGCGGTGCTCCACCCGCAGCGCCGCCGCGCCGGCGGCGAAGGAGATGTCGTACTCGGCGAGGGAGATACCCTTGGGCAGGATCTGCACCGGCTCCATCGGGCCGCCGTGCTCTCCGCCCGCATACCGCACGACGAAGGTGCGCTGGTCGGCGGGGCTCAACCCTCGTCGTCGCCGCGGATGGCGTGGCGTACACGTGCACCTGGAGCAGCGGAGGGTCAGCACGCATCATCTCTTCCGCAAAAGAGTGCATGCCACACGGCGCGGCGCGGTGTATCAAAAGCGTGTTCTGCGGCTCGCTCATCTCTGACCGGCAGAGCGCCTGCGCGTCGAGTGCCCATCTAAGATATGGGTCCGCCTTTTAGCACAGAGCCACCTGGGTGGGAGAGGTGGCATGCGCCGTGCGCCTCGTGCTCTCCGGATCGGCTGGGGTTTCAGTTGGGTTGTGATGAGGCAGAGTCAGACAAACACCTGCGCCGGTGGGGCTACCCAGGCCGACCCGACCCATAACTTAAGTTTGGGGGCCCCGACCCAGGCTGACCCGACTCGACTTCTGGCGACCCGGTGGACTTCTGGCGAATCACGCCCTCCTGCCAAAATGGCGATCTACCGCATCGTTGATCAGCTTTGTCACCTCTTCCGGCCATCCATTTTAAATCAGAATGCTTGTCCGGGTGCCACTTGAGCCGCAATGCTTTGATCCGACTCTTTCCCTCCCCGGGAGGCAATTTTGCTGCCTCCTTAACCACGGCCTCAACTTCCTGGCGCATTTTTTACATCCATGTTTCGTTTCCCGCCGAGCTGCCGCTGCCGCTGCCGCTGCCGCTGCTGCCGCCGCCGCTGCTGTTGCTTCGTTGCTGCTGCTGCTGCTGCTGCTGCCGCTCCTGCTGCTGCTGCCGCTCCTGCTGCTGCCGCTCCTGCTGCTGCTGCTGCTGCTCCGGCGAGGCCCAGGCCCAGTACTCCGCGATCTTCTTGCTCATGTAGACATCGCGGTGGCGTCGTAGCTGCTCCACGGTGGGATGCTGCCCTGAGAGCCATGCCGGGTATGTGCCCTGCCACGACATACAGTTGTCCTTGGTGCCGGGGGGTGTATCGCAGCAGCAATAGATATAGTAGGGGTGGATTTATTTTTTGCTCTCAAACTTGCAAGTTTGGCCTAACCTGGTACGACTCCTTTTTCCAGACAGTACCCCTGTGAAAAAGTGAGGCGTGGCCTGTACTCGCCAGGGTACTAAGCGCCAAAAGAAGAGGGAAAAAGAATTTTCGCCGTGCGCAACAAACAAAACGGTTCGCACGATTCACGCGACAACATGATGGCTATGTGGGCTCTGGACGCCTCTGCCCTCTCGCCACTCCTCCCCATTTTCGTCGCCTGCCTCAAATACACCAGCGATGAGTCGGCTGAAATACTTCAAGCTGAAGTGCTCCAGCCATCCCGGCTGCGACGGCTGCCCCACCCGGTTCACATCCCTCATGTCACCAAGTTTGGCCTTGCACGGATCAGAGTCGTGAGGCTTGGCACAGGCTTGGCCTGAGCTGGCAGTCTCGAGTGCCGCTGCTGCGTGTGCTACTGGCATGATCGTGATGTTGAGTTGGTGGTGGATGATCCGACGGCGAGCAGCGGTCCTGTTTATTCCCTTGGAAAAGGTTGCGGTGGCCTGCAACCTCTGTTTATTGGTTGGCAGAGGTTGCGTTCCTTGCAACACGTCCGACCAGTAGGGAAAGAAATAGGCTCTGCGCATGTCGAAGGCACCCTGGGACGCGCGCCGCCGGATCTCAGCCCACTGCTCCTCGAGAAACTGCGGTGTGACGAGCGACCAATCGCGCACGGCCACCACCGGCAGCCCGGCATACAGAGCTGCGAGCGTGTCGGGCGGCTCGTCGATGAGCGGCACCGCGCCTGCCAGCAGGACCTCCCAGTCGCGGTGGCTTTGCTGGCCGTGGCCTTTTGGCGAGAAGACGAACCTGGCGCCAAGCAGCTTCTCGATATACACGTCAGGCGAGTCCTTGGACGTGTTCTGGCACTGAAAGCCGTTGCGCGTCAGCGCCGCGAGCTTCTCACTGCGCCCATAGTGGCTCCTCATCCCGGAGCACAGGAGCTGCGTGCTGCGCTGGTTGGTGCGTGCCTCGCGACCGTCAAGATGTTTCGGCCAAAGCCGGTAGTCGTAGATGCCGATCGGATAGGGGGAGAGCTTCGGATGGGCGATTGCCGGGTTCGTAACCAGGAGCCGGTCCACTATCGGTCTGTTGAGCAGCTTGAGCGTGCGCGCACGTTCAGTTCCAAGCCGCGGGTACTCAATGTCGTCCATCACCCATATCGTCAGGCGACGCACCCCCTTCGTTGCGTTCAGCCCATGCTCGATGCAAATCTCCACATTATTCACGCCGTTACACGCGATTAGCGCACGCTGGAGCTGCACAAACACGGCGGCCCTGCAGGACCTTCGATTACGAGGGCCGCCCCACGTCGCCACCTTTTGCGCCGAGTAGTGATCCAGAAACAGGGTCTCCGGTGGAGCCAGCCCGTGCCTGTGTGGTGCGCCCATTAGACAAGTATGAAAGTGTCCCGAATCTGCATTCCAGTGCGCGAAATTCGCCAGCAGCTCCCCTGTTGCTGCACGCTTTTTTGCCTGCTTGGCATAGCGGGCGAGTATCTGCGCATAGCTGATTGTCCAGGGCGCAAGCCGCTGCGATGGTGCGGCGACCGCAAGTAGAGGGAAGCTCAACCTGAGACGAGCCGCTGCCTCCTTGTGACGCTCCGCCCGCGACGCCGTCGGCCTACGGTGGGTGGATGGTAACAGGTACGATAGAGCGAGCGAGCGAGGGGAGTGGCGGTGATGTGTCCCACATTGTTACACTTCCACTGTCGAACGTGTTCGCACCTCACTGGCAGAACTTGTTCCATTTTAATTGGAAACACAGCACGCGCTGACTCTGTGAATTCCAGCCGCGCACTCCATGAATGAACACTGACAAGATACCATACCCCGAACATACCTAACACCCCGGCTGTATCGAGGTGAAGAACAGCCAGGCTGGACCACCCACTGAAATCAGGGGGAGCAGTACTCTCCCTCTCGCGTCTTGTGCTGTTCGCTGCGACTCGCCCGATCCACAGCAGCCGGAGCATCGTCGGCGAAGGGTGCTTGGATGGCTGATGCCATCTCTGTTCCTCAAGATGCAGCTGCAAATGCGGTGCCGTGACACGCAGCAACCGCGAAAATGCGACACAGGTCACAGCCACGTGTGTGGGCGATTCTCCGCCTCGCGCTTCTTTCTTTATGAGTTGCCAACCGGCGCACTCCAAGTGCTCACTTTAGAGCACGGTACTGTCTAGTAAGTGCTCCAGGCCGTCCACGGCCTGGAGCCTCCCCAGTATAGCCGGGGCGTCTGGCCTCGTCTGGTCACGCGCTCGCGTCCTAGAGAGGTGTACCGTAGCAGGTGGATAGTGGCGCAAACATCCAACGAACAATGAATGAGTTACATAATGAGATCAACAATGATTTCCCTGCCCCTGGGAGGCGTGCTTGCTTGCCGCATGCCGGCTTCAGCCCGCTTCCCGCCTTCCGGATTAATTACCACCGCGGGAGGCGAGAAGGTGGTCACGCTCACAAATGCCCCTTTTTTCGGAGGGCCTGGCGCACAACCACACACCACACCACACCCTGCGGCTCCCCGTGTACGGCTCTACGGCTTTACGGACCCTTGAGCACTTGAGCACTGGATAGGGTCGATTCCGTATGGTACTTTGGTACGTGCGGGACCCCTCGATCTCCCGCGTGGCGGGGGATCTCCGTGTCTCGTGCAGTCTGTAGCAGTGTCACTGAGAGTGTTGTTTTTGACCGTTTTGATAGGAGAGCGAGCTGCGAGGGAGTGGCCTACTTAGATTTTGTCGCGGGCGAAAGGGCCGCACAACTTCATGCGCCGCACGCCGGGGCCTGCGGGGCGTCCCAGCCGCGCCCGTGCGCCGGCCTGCCCGCGCCCCTCCAGCCGGCGTTGGGGTGCGGGCGCGCCTCACGCCTTTGTCGGCTCGAGGGTGACGCCGCGGTTGATCTCTCCCCACCCAATCAGCCGCCAGTGCTTGTCGATGCGCCGCGAGAGTGCGATTTTCTCCTTCTCGGACGTGCAGACGGGCGCCGTGAGCAAGATCTTGGCGAGGTCGGCGCGGACCGCCTGTCCACACACACCTCCCCGCCGTGAAGAGGCGCCGTTCACAGCGCGTTTGCCCGCAGGCCGAGCGCGACGCCCGCCTGGATTCTCCCGCCGGTCGACGTCGAGCCGATGTTGAGCATCAGGATCTCGCCCTTGGCCAGCTTCTGCACCTTGCCCTGCTTCTCCCCATCCGCCGTCTTCACGCCGAGCAGCCGGCGGAGCAGGTAGTACGACACCTAGTGCGTGCGGGACTCGTGCGGCGGGTCTCCTCTCTTCTCTTACATTTGGGGCCGGTGGTGCGACACGCCTCGATCTCGGTGAAGATCTCGGGCAGCGCGCCGACCGAGCCCAGCACCTGACCCACGCACGCCGAGATTACCCGGGATTACCCGAGATTGCCCGAGATTACCCGAGAGTACCCGAGATCACCCGAGATTGCCCGAGATTGCCCGAGCCGCGTACCTGCCCCACTAGCCGGTCCGCGCGCGTCAGCGTCGGGTCGATCAGCGTGCCCACGCCGATGAGCCCCCCCGGCACGGCGTACTGCAGGTCGTTGCCTAGGAGCAAGAGACAGCGCGTGCGGGAAAAGAAATACCGCGCGGCCGGCACGGCGTACTGCAGGTCGTTGCCCACGTGCTGAATACGCCGACATGAGGGCGTGAAGACGGTACTGTGCAGCGTATTGAGAGCACCGCGTGAATGCGAGGAATGGGAGGACAGTGAGTACAGCGGAGTGCGGCGGAATACAGCGGAGTCGCGTCCTCTCGAGCGCTAGATATGGGGGAGATATGGGGGAGATATGGGGGAGATATGGGGGAGATATGGGGGAGATATGGGGGAGATATGGGAGTCGCGCCCTCTCGAGCGCTAAGTCTGGGGGACAGGAGCACGTCTTCCGCTTCTGGGGGCCCGGTCCTGCTCACGAGAGATGGGGAGATACGGGGGGAGATACGGGGAGATGTTCCGCTTCTAGGGGCCCGGTCCTGCTCACGAGATATGGGGAGATACGGGGGGAGATACGGGGAGATGTTCCGCTTCTAGGGGCCCGGTCCTGCTCACGAGATATGGGGAGATACGGGGGGAGATACGGGGAGATGTTCCGCTTCTAGGGGTCGCTGCCCTCGGCAAAGAGCGAGAGATATGGGGAGATACAGGGGGAGATACGGGGAGATATTCCGCTTCTAGGGGTCGCTGCCCTCGGCGAAGAGCGAGAGCACGCGCGAGAAGAGCGGCACGCACCGCACCCCGCCCGAGGCGCGGGAGATGATGCCTGGCCGGATCTCGATCTCCTGCCCAACCTGAGAGGTGGGGGGGAGGTGGGGGAGAGGGGGGGGGAGATAGCTGGCCGGATCTCGATCTCCTGCCCAA